AAACAAAATGTTCCAAAACTGGGCCCAGAAACAGAGTTAACGCCCAACACAGCTGTTTGCTACTGTGACTACCTCCAAATTTCTTCCAAATTCTCCATTTTGGACTGCTCTAACACACTTTGCCTACAAAGTGTGCAAACACAGCTATACCCTGGATACACACACTCCTAATGTCTGCTCTGTTATTCTGCACTGAAAAAGAGGTTCCCCCATGTTTTGCTTTCTTGAAAGATGTATTGGAAGGAATTCACCCCAGTTCACTAATACCTGGGGCTAATCCAGTTCTTTTCCCTAATTGATAATCCTTTTTCCCAGCTAGTACTCAAATTATACAAGATGGTTTGACACCAGCACATGGACTTCACCCTGCAGGACCAGGATATATATTTGACCCTCAGGCAAACATGGGGGCAAGGAAAATCATGGATGGAATTGGTTTTAGTGACAGAATTTCCCCAGGAGGGGGTGAATGTTCTGGCTTTGGCATACCAGCTGTGATTAGAGGTTTATCATTTATCTAAGGTAGCTGCTTCACCAGGTGTCGATTGAGAAGGTAGGAAGCTGTCTCACCAGACCATCTGTGTTTTTATTTGGTTCTCTCCGTATATGTTCCATTTTTCTTTTACTGAAACATCATCACCTACAATAAAGTTCTTTTGTGTTATTTATTGTAAATAAACACACTGCATACTAGATATGACACTAAGGTAAACTAGTCAATTCAGCGGGATTTTGTCTTTTCAGAGACAGCAATACTTTTTTCCTAATTCTTCTTGTATACCTGAGTTTGAGGCAGGTGCTGGTCTCCAGTTCCTTCTTGTCCAAAGCATCTCTTCCCCAAAAGCAAAAAGTCATTCTGGGATTTCCTTTACCACACTGTAACAAGGGGTACTTCAGATGGGCCCTTTGCTTCTTCAGAAGCACCCGTTTAGAAACAGCTGTCCCCATTACAGGACATTTGACATGGAAATGCCTAACTTCTTATGGAACCTCTCTGTATTTTGTATTACTTCTAGTCCCCATGGGCAGGCATTTTGTTGTGACACTGATTTTGTGTTGTCAAAATCCTAAAACTGATCACAGGTTCAATGAGGCTGGGGGCTCACGATATACTCAATTCAGGTGATCTTCTTCAATGCTTTACCTTCTCCCTCATGATTTTGAGGGAGTGGATCCTTTGTTCATTACCCGTCCCAGACATGCTTTTTTTTTTTAAAGAAAGAAGGAAAAACCTTCTAGCTCCAGTAGTAGAAATGTCCTGCGCCCATAGACAGACCAAAGGCTAGTTGACTTGAGCAGAGGCCAGCTAGAAAAGTTGCTGGACACAGATACCTGCAAACCTATTTATCAGTTCCACTGTGTAGATGCTATCACCAGTTAAAGGGGGAATGACACAGAATATCTTGCACACAGTTTTGTGCCCAGTTTGCTCTCTATCTCCCAAGTGCTGTGAAACTCTAGTACTTTTCCACTTCATCAAATTGATGCCTGCCATGTCACTTCAGGTAAAGGTAAATAACCAAAGACTTAGCACCTCTGGGCACTAGAGGTGCTTGGCCACTGTAAATATCAATCCAAACAACAGTACTCCCCATCAGCAATTTTTGAGGGGAAGTTGAAAACAAAGAGTTCACTTTTCTTCTACACCACAGTATAGGATTTCATTTGTCATACAAGCCAGGCCATCACTACAAACTCTGGATCTTGCTACTTGTGCTAACAGTCACACATCTCTTTCTCTCCAGCCTTTATGAACTTTAGGAATATTTATTTGCACCGTACACCTGCCCATCCAAAACCAATAAATGAACACAGTTGTACAGATCATATAATGTCTAAATAAGGGTTACTGGTACCAGTTTCAAAATACATGTTCAAAGATGGGGAACAGGATATGGCTAAGAGGCTAAAGTTACTCAAGCAAAACTCACCCCCAAATTATTCACTAGCACAACACTCCATTGTTATTTTGCTCTGTGTTGTCCATATTTACATGGAGGGCCCAGAGTTCGTTTCCCCAAGTGTTTTGCTTTATGCCATATGAAAGTATCAGGACAGAGAAGTCCCAGAAAAGCCCAAGAGAAATTATTTTCTGGGGGATAGTCCCAGCCATGCAACCACAACTGGGCCAACATTAACTTGAGGAAAGGGAACGAACAAAGAGGGTGAAGTAAGCATCAGCAGCTGAACATACGGCATGAAAGGGGATGAAGAACAGATTCTGAGGTACCTTTAGCCACCCCCCTTGTATGTCTCTTCCTGGAAATATGTGTGGCTGTCTGACCAGGACATCCTGTGCCAGGCTGTGTTTGTTTATTTAGGCATGGATCGTTGCAAGACAACTGACAGGAGATCTAGTCTGAAACCTGCCCCACAGTAATCATTAAATTTCCCAAAAGAAGGATCTTGGAGAGATGATACATTCTTTCCCAGACACAGAGGGAAGCTATTGGCCCTGAGATGCTATTCCTGCCTTGGGTTATGAGATTAATGGGTGATGGGTTTATGCAGCTATTTCAATGATGTCCAGGCAGCTCAACGAGGGGATTAGCTCCTTCTCTGTGGCCAGAAAGTTCCAGGTGGCTGTCCCAGTGACCTAGACACCATATAGTCTGTGTGGATCAGTCCAGGGCTCCAACAGTAAGTGAAATAGGTAATGATTTACCTATTTTTGATTTACTCTCCTCTTTTCCTGCCCTCACAGTATCTACAAATATTGTTGTTCCCCCCAAATAACACCTGACTCCCAGAACTGGTTAGACTAAGAGCAGAATTATCACTCCAAGACTGTGACGGACCCTCCCTTCTACATCCTGCTTTCTCTGCCATGGGCACAATGACACCTCCAAATGGCTCCAGAGGCACAATGGGGAGCCAGAGAGTTAGAAGCCAGCATAAATCAAGATCAAGAAGAGAACAAAAAAGCAAGAATGCACAAGACAGTATACATTATGCATCCAAGAAGCAGTGAAAGCTGTGCAACAGGAGCAGCGCTTTTTGTGTTTTTGCATATGCAAACATGTGCATGCATTTGTAGGCCTGTTGGAATGCCCCCTAAAGCAGTGTGTAAAGCTGAAAGCAGCCAGTTGCCAGCCAAACATATGAAACAGAATTCTTTTACTCATACCCTTTGCTTCCCAGATCAAGGCAATCTGGCATGCAGCACCACTGAGACCAGCAGGTGGGCTGGTGCACCTTTGTGCAGTACCTCCATTCACCTAGATGAAGAATGACTAATCTGTTTCCCAAGCACAACTGCATTCAACTGGATGGGCATGAAACACAATGTAGCATCAATGAAGGCAGCATCCTATTTATACAACCCCTAGATTCCAAAAGGGAGCTGTGGTGGCTCAAGTGGTTAAGACGCTGAACTGCAGGCTGTGGAAGGTCAGTAGTTCAGCAGTTCGAGACCTGGGTGCCGCATGATGGAGTGAGCTCCCATCTCTAGTTCCAGCTCCTGCCAACCTAGCAGTTCGAAAGCAAGAATTTGCAAGTAGATAAATAGGTACCACTTCGGTGGGAAGGTAACAGCATTCCGTGCGCCTTGGGGTTTAGTCATGCCGGCCACATGACCACGGAAATGTCTTCGGACAGGGCTGGCTCTTCAGCTTTGAAACGGAGATGAGCACTGCATCCCTAGAGTCAGATTCGACTGGCTTTCGAGCAAGGGAACCTTTACCTTTACCTTTTAGATTCCAAAAGGTGTATGGAAAAATGATCTGGATATGAATATATAAAAGCCTGAACTCTGTTACGCTGTATGCATAGAAGAAAGCATATGCTCTCACCCATGAGAAAAAGAAAGCAAAGATGCACGTGTTCTGTGTTTGTGTACATGAAGCTGCTCAAGACAGTGTGAAGGAAAAGCATCAAAGCAGCGCACGACAAGACGTCTGCCTGTGAAATGCTGGAGGAGAGAGCAGTGTCCTTTAGTCATGTGCAAGGGATTCTATGTATGTCTGCAGTCTATACATGTTGTAGCTATCCAAGCTTCCCCTTCCCCCATGCGTCCCAGCCTGAAGCTGGCACGGTGCCCCCTGGCTGGGGTGCAGACTATTTCAGGCGCCTCCTGGGAATCTCATTTTTAGTGGAAGGAGAAATCACAAACACAAAGTAGCAGTATGGTTGAACCAGGCTTTTATCCTACCTGATGGATTTTGTGTGTTTCCCCAGCAATGTTTGGTAACCTTGCAACACTTTGCCAGGGGGAGGGGAATGATATTTCCTGTACTTCTCAGAAGCAGTCTGATTCTGGTGAAGTTTGCAGTGGGGAAGGTACATCTTTCCTCTCTGTTCCCAGAGCTTTTGCAAGAGAGGAAAGAGCAATGGGCCAACAAAGACAGTACCTCATGATATACAGTCCAAGACAAATGCAAACAAACTCATAACCTCCCCCCTCTGCCATCACCAGTTGCCTTTGTCCTTGGCATGCTCCAGTTCTCAGGCCCACCTGTTCACGTGTATACAAACCATATCAATCTGATCTCATCAGTACTCCAAGGTAGCAGCAATCTGCTAATGTGGCAACAATTCACTCCCACTACAGTCAAGCCCTGTGTTCAGAATAACTTTCCTTTGCTCTCTCATCACTATCATCATTTGACTTCAGTTATTAAATGTCAGTTAGTGGTGCCAGGACATTTCCCCCTCCCTGCTTACTTCTGTGGCAGGCCCGACAGGGCAGGCACCAGCAGCTGGGAAAAGTGGTTAACGGAGGAACCTACATGCAACATAGGCTGCATCCAAGCATAATGGCAATACTCACTCCTGAGGAACAGAGCAACCAGATGGAGGGGCAGGAAGATATGACAGAAAATCAGAAAATTCCTATGGTTCACCCAGCCAAAGGTAGGATTTTTCGCAACAAAGATCCAGGAACTGCTCCATCTCTGCCCCAGACCACTCAGCTTCCCCCATACCCAAGAAAAGGCAGCACCTAGTATATTCCAACACAGACTGGACATTACAGGATCCCAAGAGGAACACCGTGGACTTACCAGCAACCCCTCGCTGCATTTTTCTGCCATGGTTGAGGGCTGTGATGTGGGCACCCACCTGCCCACTATCCCGTCTTGCTGGCTACGCTTCCCAGGCTACACAGAGACCTCAGACGGCAGCACAATTAGACCAAGGAAACAGCAAGCTGTAGAAAAGAAAAAGGGCACAGGTCAGAGGATGAGGAAGGGGTCAAGCAGGAGGTTTGCTTCCTATACCCTAAATCTCCAGCAGGAAGAAGTCCCACCAGCTGGGTTCTCTTCTAGCACTGGAGCTCCTGCAAACCTCTTTTTTTTTACTGCAGTAATTAGACTGTTGACATTAAACAGATACCCAAAGATGGTAAAATGACAGAGGCTGAAGGAATCCCAGATTTGGGGTGAACATGCTCCCTATCTGCCCCCTAGTTTCCAATCCATCCAGGCCACTGCCCCTTTTGCAGTGGGAAGAGGCTGCAAGTATTCCACATGGTTGGAAAAGAGCATAGCTAGTGCTCCAGGCAGAGGAAGTCTTCAGGGCACTGAGCACGCAGAGGGGCACAGCTGCCACCAAGGACACAGATGGGAGGCAATTGCCTTCCACCCTGGTGCACCTAGTCACGTTCTGGGTTGGCTCGGCCATTGTGCCAGAGACCAGGTGGTCCTGCCAAGCAATGAAAAGGGGAGAGGAAATTGTCCACCCATTCCCTGGTACAATACAGAGTGGTACGGGAAAGCAGCTTCCTATTCAGCTATTTTGTGTGTTTGTGTGTGTACGTCCACTCGTGTATATATCATGGGCATCTATCTGTCCATGGTAGGAAAGGGCATTGCCCAAAATGTCTGTAAGCACAATTTAAGTATAGTCATGACAGGGAAAGTATTGCAAAGTAGAAACGGAGCATGAGGTGATTTCTTTACACTGTAGTACATGGGAGCTGGGTGGAGTAGGGAAGGGTGGGAGGAGGGGTGTTTCAAGGGCCTGAGTTGGTAAGATAAGGAGTTGAGCATTCACCCACTGTCTCACACACTATCTTAGGCCTGGGGCACAAACCATGACATTTGCTCTTTACAGGATGGTGCTACTGCAGAGAAGGTAAGCAGGGAGGTGCAGAGGACTGAGGCAACCCTAGAGCCAGTTTGGTGTAGTGGTTAAGAGCGCGGACTCTAATCTGGGAGAACCGGGTTTGATTCCCCATTCCTCCACTTGCACCTGGCTGGATGACCTTGGGCAAGCCGTAGTTCTGATAAGAGCTGTTCTTGAAAAAAGAGCAGTTTCTGACAGAGCTCTCTCAGCCCCACCTACCTCACAGGGTGTCTGTTGTGGGGAGGGGAAGGGAAAGGAGCTTGGAAGCTGCTCTGAGACTCCTTTGGGTAGTGAAGGGTGGAGTATAAATCCAATCTCTTCTTCTTCTTCATTCAGTCTCTCAACTCAAGTAGGGCCCCCAAGTCCCAGCTTCATGTTTTTTGGGGAGTCAAATGACCCATAGAGACTGAAGCTACTTTATCTTCTGTCCACACAATTGAAGGGAGACCCTTTTTAAGGTTATGTAACTCTCCCAAGGTCATGGCTTTTGGGAGGACAGAGCCCTAAGACACTTCCTACCCCACTCCAACAAAGGACTACTCAAATACTCTACTCCTTTTCTGCCTTGTACCATGAGGGAACAGCTGCCATGTCTTGCCCCCTAGAGGGCCAACTTGTCTGTCTCAGAAATTTCTGACCATAACAGGGTCAAACTAGACTCCTTCTTCCTGGAACATGACTTGCCTATAATAGGAGAGCAGAGATAAACTAGCACCCAAAGCACAGCTTGAGAACAAGTCAGATGGCACAAGATATCTTTCATTCCCCATAAATTCCTATGCTGAAAAGCCTGGAGCCAAATAGAAACTTTAATACCACTGTATCCCCAATCAACAAGTATAGCTGAATGTGAGTGGCTGAAATTTTCTGTGATCAGAAATTGGCAGAATCCTCAGGACCCTGAATATTTCACTGAGGGACAATCACAGCAACTGCCAAGTGGTGTATGCCACAGGAAACAGTAGGGTCCCTTTACGGAGGTCATTGCCATATCTTTCCTATTGTTAGATGTGGCCCCACTGTAGGGACACATTTGGTTCCTGGACACTTCAAAGAGAAGCTCCTGTACAGATAAAAAAACTGCAAAAAACAGAGAAAAAACTGCAATGGAATAAATAAGACCATCAATACGCAAGGTGCATGTTATAGACTAGCCCTTCTCATCCACCTCTCAAGATCATGTTATTGTGGATTAGTTACCTAAAATTAATCACACTCATAACTAAGACTTGTTCCAAAGCATACTGCTAGTAACATCTACGTACAATTTTACAGGATTTAAAACACTGCATATGCATAATGTTATCTAACTTTTACAATAGCCCTCTAAGGCTGTCTAATAAGGCCAATGCAAAGAGGAGAGTTGAATGAAGGGCTTTCTCTTCAGTGTTGTGGCACCTTAAAGGTCACTGGTATTGGCCCTTGTGTTCAGGTAACTGTGTAACAAGGCTTCCATTGGGCCCTTATATGTTTCTAACTGTCTTTCTAATAAATATATATATATTGTATATAATAAGTTAACACTAGGTTTTTTTAATATTGACCTTTAATCAGGTTTCTTTCTTACTTTAAAGAGCAACACTGACATAAAGTTGCACAGTCTAGACTCCATCTCACAAAAGACTCTAGTCTGCAAAAGTATATTCTATAATATATCTGCCCCACAAGATTCTTTTTGGCTTTTCTGCAACAAACCAGGGATGCTCAAACACCTGCTGGTTCACCTCACATACTATTCGCAGGTTGCAGACAGAGACCTGACTTTTCAACTACCAGTTTGACAGTTTGTTGATCTGTTTGGCAGTGTTTGGCAGGTTGTTTCATTGCATCCCTTACTAACGAAGCAGCACAGTGCAATTGGCTTTTCGCACATTCACCTTCTCGCAAAGCCCAATTGATTTCTACTACCCCCCCATCTTTGCCATGTAAGTGCTCTGATGAGCAGGCAATTCTTTAAATAGACAAACCACTCATTAAATCACTCACAAATCATATAAGTCAGTAATCAATTAATGGTGAGTTTCAATAAAGTCCTACCCTTTGGTGTTCATCTACATAATTCTTAGTGGAGCTAATGACCACCAATCAGCTTGAATCAGCAGTGTCTTTTCTTTCTGTCACTTTTGGGGAAACCTAATGCAAACTATTTTGGAAGGTATGCCTGGCTGCTCAACATGAACCATATAGACTTGGCTCACATCTGATCGTCACCTTCGAATATCGTAAGTCTGACAGTCGAACGTGTTTGTGGTGAAATTCACAGCATCCTTGCTACAAACTAACACCACTATTTCTTCAGAAATGGTCACTGTACTACACTAGCTCTTATTATGCTGATATACATTCAAGATCCCTAGTAGCTCCAGATTAATACAAATGTGTGTGATTGTGCATGTGTTATACTGCCCATATCTGAGCCTGGAGAGGTGGGGACAATAAGAAGGAACATCTGTTAGGCTGCAGGAATGAGTTCTGTATGGAGGGAGCTACTGGGGGGGTTGAGACCCAATAGCAGTAATATGAGCAGAAGGGAAATTATTGAGGGGAAAAGTACATCATTAGCATAAGCACAGAAATTAAAACTGGGCATGGAATTCAGCACCTTGAGAATGTAATCATTTTTAAAGCAGATTCCTAGCAGTTATGAATTCAAATGTAAGCTAGAAAATACTTGATAAAATCCTACCAGGCAGAAGGGAAAAATAAGTAGGATTTCCTCCAGGCAGAAGGGGGAGTTATGATGCCACAGAACAAATATAAGCAAAATAGTCTGATTTAGATACTTCATCATCAGCACAAAAATCTGGACAACCTTGGCAGAGTGCTATGGAGTTTTAAGTGCATAACACAGTTCTGGGTGTATAAACTGCTAAGCGTGGGAATTTTTGCCACCTGCATTTAAGGTAAAAGGTGAAGCCTCTGCAGCACTTCTACCAGGAAACAGGCCCTGACATAAACCACATGCAACAACCACCTCTCTGCTACTGCTGTAGCTCAGCTTCTGCTTCCAAATAGGAGTTCAAAATGTATCCAACAAATACATCACCCCAGTAAAAATCCAAGTAGCTCAGGAACCTGCCCAGAGGAAACACACAATAAAAGACAAGGCTGAAACTGCTTCCCAGGGCCTTCTTTGCAATTCCTGGTTCCTTATCCTGCAAATAGGGCCCTGGGAACCAACTTCAGCCTAGTAAAAAATAAACACCCATTTCTCTTCTCTCCACGAAAGGACAACTAAAGCAAACTCTTTTTGCAGCAAAGTGAGTGGCCCGGGAACAGAGGTGGCCATGCAGCACAACAAAGAATCGTCTGAGGCCAGAGAAGAGGTTGTGCAACCAGAAGGACACTGAGAGGAGGCTGGAACAGAGGCCCTTTCTGCACCAGTGTCCTACGTATGAGCAAGGACATGAAAGAGACTCAGAAGGTATTATGTGATACGGCATCCAACCCCGCCCCTAGGCTGAAGTGAACTACCCCCACTCTAGACAGAGACCGGAATGATGTTTCCCTTTTCATTCTCAAGCAGCCCTTGTCCTGCCAACAAACTCCTGGTGAATTGGGATGCAGAAAAGTTTTCTACTCTGCCATGCCAAAAACAAGGAAGCGCAATAAGAATCCCACTAAAAGAGCTGGGTACATCTCACAAAGGGACTTGAGGGAGCTATGCCCAGGGATGGCACTGTGTCTCAGAGCCACTTGTCATACACTCTCCAGAATGGAATGCCTACCTTGTCCATGTGACAGGGCAATAAGGAACTCCCCCCCCCCATCTTTTTGGCACAGTGCAGGGAGCTCCCCTGCCAACAGTCTCTCAGCCAACTGAATGGACTTTGGCAGCCACACATCAAAACTGTAAGGGGATCAGAAGCCCTGCGAGGAAAGCCAGTAAAGTTAGCTTGGGAGAGTGTGTGATGACTTTGAGAAGGGTGCTAGACCCTGTTAAATGGGGGGTAGGAATATATTGCACCTTGAAAAATCTGGACCCCTGCTCTGCCAAAGAGTTATATTTGCAGGAGGCAGCTCTTCAGCTATGCTTGCTACAGATACACTACTCCAAGCTAGTACAATGCAAGGAATG